AGCTCCTTTTCGATTTTGTAGTCTTTGCCTTCGGCATTGCCATTCATTAGAACGATCACTGTGCAATCGTCACCGTAGACAGCCTGCGTCACCTCTTCACCTGTGGTTGGAAAACAAGTTTTCAAACCCATGATGTTCGACATACCAAAACCCGCTGGGTTAACCTTGGTCTCTTGCTTGCTGAACAGATTCGTAAAGGCAGATGGGAATATTGACGATGATGACGAAGCGTCAGGTGACGAAAAGGTCAGGCCTCCAGACTCCGCTTTCGGAATGCTTGGTGAAGCCTCTGCGGTAATTTCTGTTGTCAAAGGTGAAAGTCGTAAGCAAGGCAGAATGCGTGATTGTCATTGACAAGAGCTAAAGATTCCAACTACTACCGGCGTCCCGTGGTGTTCAATTCGCCGCTCATACCGTTTTTAGACTTCGGAACAACGACCGCTCCGGTGGCCAAAGTATCGACAGGCTGCGGCCCATCTTTCGACTGGTCAGTCTTGTCTTGTGCCGCCGCATTAGTATTCATAGATGAAGCGGATGGAGACCACAGGCCGCCAATAAGCCCAGCCACGGCGGCCACAGCCACAACAATAAGCCCCGCTGCTACCCACTGTCGTCGTCGGGTGGCTTGGGTGGTCATAGGGTTAGGTGCGCACAGGAAGGACCCTGCAACCTGTGATTTGTACGGAATGATCAAGCGCTGAAAACAAGATTGTTTTCGAGTAAGAGTAGTATCATAATAACATAAGATGCCAGAATCGGATCCAAACTGACCGCCACTGTCATAAGTCACCTGGAGGAACATCGAAAAGCAGAGTTCGCAGGCATGCTTCAGGGGGGAAGGAGTTCAAAGTATTGCGAGCGGTAACGTGGTTTCACAGGAATCTGTCGCGAAGTAGTGAATATTCAACCCTGTAACCACTCTTCATGGGTCCACTGGCTCTCGGGCTATCTCAACCCTTCTTAGGGAGTTAAGATGTGGAGTCGGCTGATAGATTCGACACGAATATGCATCGGACATGTTTTAAAAAAAACGAATCGCCAAAAGTCCTAGACGAAACGTTCGTTCGATTCTAATACCAGAGTGGACGGTTTACCATTTTTGACAGGGTGCTTATGCCACTGCCTCTACATGATGCATCGAGATCTAGAGCTTATATGGGTGCTGAAGATTCACTTTCATTAAGGATATGAGAAGTGTCTCTCGGAAAAAAAACATCGGGCTTTTCACCGTACAGCCGTTTTTTCGTTAACGGTCGAATGTTGCCATGGTTAAGAGCATACACTTAAGGATTCTCATGCCGATGGTTCAATAAATGCCTTGCGATCTATTCGTATTTTTTAAACTTGCAGGTAACCATGACTTCTCGAATTGGACATTCCGGTGGCCTCAGGCGGATCTGTGCTCTGGGGTTGGTCGTGTCTCTTGTTGTGGCCCTTGCCTCCGTCCCTTTCGTTATAGCAAAGGGAGATAATGATACAGAAGATTCAGCCACGTCCGTACAACCGCAGTCCTCACGATCGCGGTTCTTACATCGTCTTCAAGGCTTGTTTACACACTCGACATCGTCCTCTTCGTCGTTGTTATCCACCTCTTTGGACAAGCTCGAAAGTCCAGCCGCCACAAAGGCTAGCTCTTTTTCTATATTGGGGGGCGAGAAGGATTCCTGGGCTGAAGAGTGGGACCTCAAACTGGCGCGTCGCCTTCTAGATGGGGATCATTTTAGCGTCTTGAAAGAGATGGTGCTGTCCAAAGACCTGGAAGTGATATGGAGCACCCCTTACGCGGCGCGACGCTTATTGGAAGCGAATCCCATTTTGAAAATGCTGCCTGGTGCAGCTGCTTTGGCAAAGAAAGACCTAGACGATTGGACGCCAGCTGATGTGAGTATGTATTGCAAATTGATATCCACGACAGCGATTCTCCTCTCTTAAGAAACAGAGGAGGATGGTCGCCTGTAGTGTCAACTGAAAGGGTACGCGCTTATGTCTCACAATCTTCGTATTCATCTGCCCCAGGGATTACAAATTCTGTCCAGGTTGCGTCTCTTCGCGAAAGATGCAATGGAAAAGACTATGGAAAACATCGACCCGTCGAAATCCATGGAATCTTTGGAAAAATTCGCCCATCGCGGTCTTAGGGAGGAGCACGAAGGTGGCGACCCGAAATTAAAAGCTCTTTTCGATAAAGTAGCCGCAGGAGATGATACAGCTGCAAAGGAAGTGCATGATGTGGTGTTCGATGAGCTTTGGGGAGGATTAGTGGACAAAGAACAGATGGGTTTTGGAAAAGAACCCGGTACGATGTTCGAACCAGAAGCGTCCAAAATTATGCGGGACTACGTGCGAACCCAAGAGCCAGCTCTTTGGGATATGATGACGATGGACGACCCGTTTATCACGCAGTAAGTACAAAGAGGAGAAAGGAAGTACGTTCCATGTGGGTTCTCTTTGAATACATATGGAGTGAGCGAAGCGATCTATTGTGCGGTAGTAATAATTTTGAATGCATTGCTGATGTCTGCAATACCGGTGGTTAGGTTTAACGTGGATTTCTTGACACTCCTCTTTCCTCTTTTATCTCAAGGCTAATGACGGATCCTCTAGCAACACCCATGAAAGTAATACAAGACCTCACTAATCAGGAACTTGCAGCTGATCAGACAGAGTTGGAGTCAAAAAGCAAGCAGCAAGAGACGTGATGAAAGCGGGGGCTCGACGAAAGAATCGTAAGCAGGGTTTGTGACACTCAATGAGCATCCCGAGATCGAGCTACTACCTATGGGAGCTTATATACCCCTATATTATCGCCAGTATGATAAGAATGAACGCTAGAGTGCTCCCTTCCAATATAAAAGCAAAGTATGCGCTTGATATTTCTTTCTCGGAAGGCTGAAATTACGCCTAGAAGAATGTACCGTCTGATTGATATGCTGTACGCGAAAAAGGGAGACGTCGTTTTAAAGATATTACGGAAAAATGGGGCAATGAAGATGAACGTCATGGATCTAATAATGCGAAGAATCAGATTGTTAAGAAAATCGAATTTCCAATGCCACTGAAAACTTAAAAATGGCTGGCGATTTACTTCAAACGCTCATTTTT